CCCGCAGGGCTTGCCATACGTATTCTAGATCGTTCTAACCGACAGCGGAAGATACAACAAGCGCGCGGCAATTGCTTAGAGACATCCAAAGGACATGCGACAAACACAGATACCTAGAAAGGATGATTGCACCCAGGAGGACACCACATAGGATTCTTAAGGTAACACTGGTGTTGCTCTAGGTAACTTGGTTGAATGTGTTATTTGTCGGTCAAAACCTTTGTGATTATCCGATGCATATTTCCTCTTAAAGCTTGGTTTAGACTTTAATTGAAACGCATCTTCGAAACATTTTCTTTTCCATTTTACCAGGCCTCAAGTTGGACGAGTTTCATTTGAAAAGTGGATAAAGTTGATAACAATCACTGAGAAACGATGATCTCAACGAATTGAATATATTTCGTTGGCATGTCACAACACAGACATTATCTCATGCATGAGCAAAATATTTGTAAATGTCCACGTCTTTGACGTTACCGCATTAGATAGATAGTAAGAAATGCGTGAAACGCAGTAAGAGCTCATCAAGTGACTGTGAAATTATAAAGAGAGAATTTAGCTTCCCCAGTAAAACAGCGAAAACCAGTGTTTAAACCATAAAGCTATATCATGTCAAGGCGTTTTTCAGAATGCCAACTATGCATCTCAGCATGATTTAAGCAGATGAGACTTTTAATTCACCTTTATTAGATCCTAATGAGCTAAGATCTCTGGAGATGTGTGAATAGATTGAAGGAGTCGAACAAGCTATCCTGTAGGACACAAAGAGTAGTCGAATTAAATCATCAATTTGTGAACATTATTGTAATATATAATTTATGGACAAATGAGCTAGGATGATCAACAGTGCATGTTGATGGCTCAGTTGCATGAAATAGATTTAATTACGTACTCTTGAGTTTGTTTGGTACCTCAAAGTCGACAAAGCCCATCTTTACTTCGTGATTTCGATTGCATGTAGACTCCGGCACATCTAGGGAGTCTGACTTTTTTCTATTAAGACTTCATTCATACGTTCATGCATATTACAGTCTATGTTCATGACTCAGTTCCATTGAAAAAATTTGATTACGTACTCCTGAGTTTGTTCCGTGGACTCTCTTTTTATAAGAATATTGTTTCTCTAGTCGAGACTGAATATTCTTTTTTTTCTGCCCATTTTAGGCTGAAATATTCTTGTGAATATTATTAGATTATAGATGGTGTATGACAATTCTGTTTTCGAATGTATTTGGTTTCTGGATGGTGTTAAAGTAATTTTGGAGTCAGCCTGCAGGCATTAAGGCCTGATATGACGCACATAACTTCTTGCAGAAATGTTATTAGCATCGAGCATACGACTCGTGCTGTTTCTGTTGCGTTTTGGAAAGTTTTGCCATTTAGAAAAAGAAAGATTATATTTTTAGGTTTTGTCTTATATATTTGTAATTTTAACGAGTTGTCAAGTATGTGACAATTCAGCCGCTTCGGGGCTTGCCATGATTTTACTTAATAAAGCTACCTATTTTCATAAAGCTATCTATCTAAGAATCAACGAAAAATGAATTCCGTCCTTTTTTTGCTAAATTTAGATCAATTCGGGCTTCATCCGTTACCTTTGTTGTCATTAAAGCTTTGACGTATAATTTGGAAACGAAAACATTGGCATTGCACTAATCGACCCATGCCCAGAGTATAGATCGCGTATGACGAGCTCGCAGAAAGCGAACTCGACAAGGGTCATAATTGAATGAGGACGTAGTTTCTTGGGTTTGTATTGAGTATTGAGCAATGGCTAAACGTAACAATTCCAATTTATCTCCAAGACTTCACAATAGCAACGGCCAAACAGAACACTTATCAAATGCATGCCATCAACAGAAGTTTTCTAAGTCAACTAACTTCCAATAAGGATTTGTAACTTTTACATGGAGAAAAAATATATTTGACTTAACCGTGGCGTTAACTGCTCGGTTTTTCAGGTCTTCCGCATCTTAACTGAGTAATCAGTCCTAGAAGATCATGTAGGTCAGAAAAATAATTAACTTTGTATTGGTTATTTGTAACAAATAAAGTGTAGTGTCGATATTCCGTTGTCAAACCTAAAAGTGCCATATAGTGAAAGCTCTCTTGACAGAACTGGGCTCAAAATGGTTCATCGTGTTACGACCGCTCCAACAAAGTGTGGTTTAAACTCCCATACAAATGTTATCATTTTACGTTCCTGTATGGGACTATTTCCGTATGTGCCTGCAAATATTCATTTGTAATTGCCTGTCACTGAAAGCCAATAGAACTAATAGAGATCAACTGTACAGACCCTTAGTTCGGAAACTGGTTCTCAACAAGACTGACAAAGAGGCTGATTACTGCGCAACTTTGGTAATTTGGCATCACAGGTTTCCTGAACAAAAGAAGATCTTTGCGAGCTGAATGTTTTGTTTCGTTTATAAAGTGGTACTCGATATATGTTGATCTACGGCAGCCATTTTGTTCTTTTTAGTACCAGTCTCCTTGATTTCAAAACCGTCTGTTTGGCACTCTTCGTCCTTCTTGATATGGATTTATATCGACTAACACAAGATGACTTATCCGCCTAACCATTTGACGCTATTTTTAAAGACGAATAAATTGTCCGAAAACTTCTGCGTTCAGGCCATCAACAAAAGCCAAAAGCCCATTTTGCTCTGACCAAAGACTTACGCTCGAAACGTCAGCGTAACATTCTCTCTAGCTACGGTGGTCAATTTACCTTTATCAACTTCAATGAATAGGTCAGTGTTTCATTTTCTCCCTGACGCAGCCCAACGGTTTCTTTTATTAGAAACTACTTTGTTATTTCTTAGTCAAGCGCAATCGCGCGAATCCAACCATCAATCACGTCTTTAATTTACCTTTACCGCAGCGAGACATCAAAAATGCAAATGCCGTCAGTCAGGATCTTAACTGTACTTGCCGTCCCGCAGGGCTTGCCATACGTATTCTAGATCGTTCTAACCGACAGCGGAAGATAAACCAAGCGCAGAATAGCATGGAGACATCCACAGGCCATGGGACAAACACAGATACCTACAAAGGATGATTGCACCGTGGAGGAGACCACATAGGATTCTTAAGGTAACACTGGCGTTGCTCTCGGTAATTTGGTTGAATGTTTTATTTTGTCAGTCAATACCCTTGTGATTATCATGCATATTTCCTCTTAAAGCTTGGTTTAGACTCTAATCGAAACGCATCTTTGAAACATTTTCTTTTCCATTTTACCTGGCCTCTAGTTGGACGGGTTTGATTTGAAAAGTGGATCAATAAAGTTGATAACAATCACTGAGAAACGATGATCTCAAGGAATTGAATATATTTCTATGGCATGTCCACGACAGAGACATTATCTTTAGCACGAGCAAAATACTTGTAAATGTCCACGTCTTTGACGTTACCGCATTAGATAGATAGTAACAAAATGCATGAAACACAGTGAGAGCTGATCAAGTGACTGTGAAATTATACAGAGGGAATTTATCTACCCCAGTAAAACAGCGAAAACCAGTGTTTAAACCATAAAGCTATATCATGTCAAGGAGTTTCTCAGAATGCAAACTATTCACCTTTATTAATCCTAATGAGCTAAGATGCTTCTCTGGAGATGTGTGAATAGTTCGAAGGAGTCGAACAAGCTATCCTGTAGGACACAAAGAGTAGTCGAATTAAATTATCAGTTTGTGAACATAATTGTAATATTTAATTCATGCACAAATGAGCTAGGATGATCAACAGTGCATGTTGATGGCTCAGTTGCATGAAGTAGATTTAATTACGTACTCTTGAGTTTGTTTGGCACCTCAAAGTCGACAAAGCTCATCTTTACTTCATGATTTCGATTGCATGTAAAGACTCCGGCGCATCCAAGGGGCCTGACTTTTTTCAATAAAAATTTCATTCATACATTTATGCATATTACAGTGTAGTTCATGGCTCAGTTCCATTGAACAAATGTAATTACGTACACCTGAGTTTGTTCCGTGCACTCTTTTTTTAAAAGAATATTGTTTTTCCAGTCGGGGCTGAATATATTCTTGTTTTTCGGCCCATTTTAGGCTGAAATATTATCGTGAATATTATTAGATTTAATATAATAAATAAATGAATGCGCGCTCTGATTGGTCAATCAGCTATGGTTTATTGTGCCGGTAAACTCATGGAAATTTCGCGTGTCTTCCGAATTATTATATAAGAGCAATAGACCACAAGTTTTTATGGTTTAGAGGCATGATAAATCACTTAGGATGTTGGAAGAACACTCGAAGAATTCGTCAATCACTCGCCTGCGGCTCGTGATTTACGAATTCCTCTCGTGTTCTTCCAACATCCCGCGTGGGTTATCAGCCTCCAAACCATAAATAATTGTGGTCTATTGCTTAAATAGTGTATGAAATTTCTGTTTTCGAATGTATTTGGTATCTGGATGGTATTAAAGTGATTTTGGAGCCAGCCTGCAGGCATTAAAACCTGATATCACGCCCATTCAGTACTTCTTGCAGAAATGTTCTTAGCATCGAACATACGACTAGTGCTGTTTCTGTTGCGTTTTGGAAAGTTTTACCATTTAGAGAAAGAAAGAATTTCATACGGTTTAGTTAAAAAAAAAATTAATTGTTTTGTGTTTACAAATTTTCACAACGCAAAATGGTATTCTTTTCAAAATCTCAGGCCCGGGATTATTCCTAAAATATTCTTAAAATTCCGCAATTTCAGCCTCGATATTCTTATAAAACATAGTCTTATAAAGAAGAAAGAGTGTACTTCAAAGTGGACAAAGCCCATTTCTAACATAACTAAAGCAAAGCGCGCGCTCTGATTGGTTAATTTAGCGTCTACTATTTGCCCATGGGTGTACGCTGCTGACGTGTGTGCTAATGTTTACAA